CAAGTTTTCCTCTGAACATGACACATTTACACCAGTCTACCTTCACTTCCTGTCTGGTGAAATTGTTGTTACCGATAGTAGGAATGAGCTCAGGTTCAGACCAAAACTGGTCCGAACCTGAGCACCTCTGAACACGGAAGGAGCTCCTCTCGAACAAGAAAAGAAGCTGCTAGCACAAACACAGCTTGATGTAAGCAAAGGATGCAGTGACATCACTGACCTTATATGGTTACATCCCTATAATTGGTAAATTATATATGCATGCATGCAGTCCAATTAGAGCGCCAAAAAAGAGAGACTGAGAGTCCAAAAAGGTTTACTAGTGGAATGGGTTCATAAAAGACAACACAGAACAGCCAACATGTTTTGGGAATTCAATGACCTCCCCCTTCTTCAGGGCTTAAACATCATAGGTAGTATTATGGACTCAAATACTGGCAGAATCGCAAGCGATTCATCTGATTGAATGAAAGGAGAAGCATGTCAGGACCAGAGAGATAAAATATCAAGTACGCAGGGGAACCAGCAGAGGAGCGTAGAACTAAGTACATGCTGTGTCGCGTATAGCCAACATCAGTGAATCAGCAAAACTGCCTAAATTACATTTACCGAATAAGGCTATGTGGCCAGATTAGGTAAATGACATCAGCACAAGCATCCCGCCCCTTTGTTTTCTTACAGCTGTGGGTGGGGAATGCCTGGCCTACAGCTTATTGGGTGGAAGTGCCCATGACGCTTTCTTGTTCAGAGGAGCTCAGGTTCGGACCAGGTTCAGTGCGAACACGAGCTTATCCCTAGTTGTCACCAGAACATAAAGTTAGGGAAGTTTGAACTAATGGAGCACCAGATAGCAATTTCAACTTATCCCCACTTTATCCAAAATCTAACAATAAACATTTTGGCTGGACCTACACTTTAACTCTTAAAATGCCTGTACACCTTTTTAGGTTTTTGTCTGATTGGGGGCTACCAGACAATACAAATGGCCTTAAAGTGGAGCTCCAACTTAAACATTTGTCTCAAGCTTTGGATAGTGTATTAGAACCTCTGTCAGGATAGAGTTAGAACCTCTGTCAGGTTTTCTGCTGTCAGTGCAGAGATAAAATCTGACTGTTGACAGAATATAATGTAAGGCAGAATGCAGACATCCCAACTCTCCCGGATGATCCAGGAGTCTCCTGCTATAGGATAGCAGCTCCCTGACGCCCGCGAGAGAAAATGTTTATCCTGGAAAGGTTCACTCTGCTCTATCTAGCAGAGTAAACCTTTCCGGGGATCCCTTTCTATCTGTGTTCTATTTTGTATTCTGACAGCGACCGTGGGGGAGGACCTTGGCGGGGTGGAGATGACATTAGATGAAATTAGTATTTGCAGGTTGGGATGTCTGAGAATGTACATTTCACATTTCCCACTAGATTATGAAGAACATGATCAAAGGGAAAATCTTCCAATGGGGACACTTGTTTTGGTAAAAAAAAAAAAAACTGTACAGGGATTTCCACTCAATTTGAGAGCATTTCCTCTCACTTTCAGTTGTTTCCCCAGGACAAGAGGTATGTCCAGATCCCCCCCAGCAGCATTAAACACCTGACAGAGGTTGTAGCTCTACCCCACTGTATCTAAATCTAGAAAAAAAAAATTCTGGCGTTCCACTTTGATGAATGAGGTCTAGTGAGAGTTGTCTAATCCCAAATTTCTACTGATTTTCCGACTTTTACTGAACTAAACTGGGCTGTAATACAACATCACATAGGTACAGTATGCATAAATATTTCACATTCAGAAAGCTAGCAGGAAACAACAGTACAAAAGTAGATTTTTCCTGCATAAACACATCTTATTTTGCAGAGTATATAATAGAGATCTAATCACATAAATACAGAAAAAATAGCACAATAATCTATAATTATATGTTTTAAAATGACAGTTTGTAGTCTAAACTTGCACAAAAACCCTGAATAAATCAATACACTGTCAGAATCAATATGCTACCGCAAGTGCAAATACGTGCTATTTACATTGCCTGGAATGTGCAGTGTGTGATGAAGACTGAGGATAGGCAACAAGAGAACATTTATACTTCCACGTTGCAGTATCACGTTTGCAGCATGCTGCGATGCATGTGACATGCCTTGTATTGCCATTAATTTTGAATGGCAGCCCAATGCACTAAGGCAACGTACCTGCATTGCAGCGCATAGCAAGGCACAGCAAAGCATTGTAGTGCATTGCCTTAGAAAAAAGGGTCACCTGCCTTGTTGATCATGTTAGAGTGCCTTGGGTTCCCATTCATTTTGAATGAGCTGCCTAATGCACCGTAAAGAAGTAAATGGGCCCTAAAGCAAAATAAAGTGGAATATTAATCCTACATAAAGAAACTTGTACAAATATAATCAAAGGATCAGGGCACATTTAATGGAACAGTTGTAACTGATTTTAATATTTTACACATTCTAAGGACTGTGGGTAGATAGATCCCCATGAAATTAGTTGCACAATAGTACTAATATATTTTGTACTATCATAGTCTTCGCAATATTATGTAAAAAGCAATAACAAATCCTTATACAGTATCATTTTTATTGCATTTCCAGGATAAAATATAATACGAAGAGGCCTACTTATAAAGGAAATAAATCACTTTTTTGTAGGAATTTTTGGCAAAATGTAATTTTCAGTGTCTCCTTCTAAAAGTGCTAAAAGTCATTTTAATATTAACAATTCTAATTTTGTTAAGAAACAATTCCAGATATGTATGGTTTTGTTACCCTTTGTAAAATACACTGCATGGTATAGAAGGATAGAAGTGTGATTTTATTAGGTCATGAAACAAAATTAGTAAATGATGTAAGAATGAGGGAAGGGGGAAGGGAATATCATCGCATGTGCTCCATTCATAAGCAATACATGGCACTTGTTTCAGCAGGCTTGTTCACTCTATGTTCATTGAGATGCGTTTTGCTACACACCACCACACATGTAAGGTGTCAACCAGTGGCATCAAAAAGGGGGGTGCAGGGGAATGCGGCCTGCACGGGGTGAAACCTTGAGAGTGGGTGACACCAAAATGACAGTCATTTTGGTGTCACTCCCTTTGTAAAGTCGGGCACTCGGTCATGGAGAGAGGAGGGGACCCAGCCGAATGAACGTCCCCTCCTCTCTTTGCCAGCATCCTTCACCAAGATGGTCACCAGCAGTTAAGTAAGCTTGAGGTCTTTATTCGTGTGCGTGATGACGTCCCAGTGGGTGGCACCCGGTGCCCACACCAGGTGACATTGTCCCTGGGGACGCCTCTGGTGTGAACAGGACAAATAGATTATCCTCTAGGTGCCCTGTTCACACGTGCCCTGAATACATGTGCTGTGGTCTGCAGAAAAGCACAGCTCACTGGACATGAGTGAACGAGTCCTTAGTACAGAGCTGGGCTATGCTCCTGTAGGTGTTAAAGGTGCCATGTTGCTGTTTGGTTTACTAACAAGTGGTCTTAATGACCCATTTACCAGTTTACTATCTGGAGGAAACATTACAAATAGTGCCATGGCAATAAAATTATAACATTGGCTAATGTTAATAAAACAAAGCGAAACATAGTCTTTGCATTGGTAATACTACTGGTACAGGGGGCTTATGTTTAACAGGTAAGGGGTCCAAAGGATCCATTGACTAGATTCCCCCATTCTAAGGGGGAAAACAATTACAATATAAATTTAACATGAATTTTATTAGCTTTTTAGGTATAACCATAGGCGTGCGCAGGGGGTGTGCCATGTGTGCCTGGGCACCCCCTAATCGCGTTGAACACAACACTAAACCCACAACGGCAGGCACCATGTTTTTAGTCACTGAGGCGGTGGATAGATCACAAAGATCTCTCTGTGATTGGCTCAGCAATACGTAGCGCAGCAGAACTTGCCACTTACATTCCTCACATAGCAGCTGCATTCCTCTGTACCTGGGAATCTGTGAGGGACCATCACTGTGGCTTCCCATCCAAGCAGAAAGCTGGGCCGGAGTTCACATGAACACCTGCCAGGCTCCCTGCTTCATTACTGTACCCCTTTTAGAATAGGAAACGCCTATAGGTATAACACAACAATCAGCTACAATACTTCCAAAAAGCTTATTTCACTTCTCTTTGCATTGATGTTTTTGACTTGGATATTTTATCAATTACCCAAATCACCACAACTAAAATTGAAGTGAGATTTAGCAAATTGAGGCAACATGTTTGTAGCTTTACAAATAGGGCCCTTAGACTAAAGCTGGCCATACATGTATTGAATTTCTACCAATCCAACAGGAATCATCCAAAATGCGAAAGTGCCTGCACCACCCAGTTCCACAAATGCCAATCTTCTAATCAATTTTTGTCTAAGGAGCCAGACAGAGAAGATGGTTGGCTGAACGGTGACTGCAGCTAATTGGCGTATTCTGACAGCGCCATAAGCTGGCTGTATGAATACGAAGATTATGGGGAAATTCCTATACCTGTCAGTGCCATCTAGGGTTGCTAGTGCCATGCAAACAGTATCCAGGTGAAACTTTTATAAATGAACCCCTAAATCGAGGGGAATCAAGCATTTTTCTCTTGTTCGGCTGAACAAGAGAAATCGTAACGTGTATGACCAGCTTGACAAGCTCAATATATGTGCTTCATCGCTTTCACCATTCAAAATGTCTAAGCAGCACAAGCTAATGGCATTTATAAGATCATTCATTCTGAAATTAACTGAAAGGCACTGTGTATTTCTTGAGCAGCTGAGAGGTTAACAGAGGACGGACTATCTGTAGCACTGTTTCCTTTTATTTATCTTAGCAGAGACAGGAGGGTACAGAGCACTTTCTGTAAATACTCCACATTGTTGAGTACTTGCTATCTTTCCTTGTACTGCTACCCAGGGCATGATTCTGCTTGTGTCGCACAAAATAGCCTTCATGTTTCCATGCAACGTGTAAAGATACACAGTTTTTAATTTTGCATGCGGTGTTCACCCTGAAAACAATGATGAAGCCCTCAGAAAATGACAAATCTCCAGGAGGTAAGTTTCGTGAATACCTAATAGGCAATGGGGAGCCATTATTGCTGTAAAGGCTCTTATTAGATGTCTGTCCTGCTTATATTAACATATAAAAATGTGTTTTTAGGTTGTCTTTCTGTATGTTGCTCAATTTAACTGGTTGACAATGCCAATAGCAAATTGTAATTCATTTGGAGATGAACATTCGGTTGATTTACAGCAAGCGGCATAAACAAGGAGTCTCGTGTATTATGTTTGTGATGAAATATTGTCTCCACTGTTTATTAGGATCATTCCGATTTTTCCTATGTAGTTTCTAGGGCAGATCTGAAAATAAAAGGGACATTGCAACAGATTGCGTCTACGGTGTATTCCTGATTTCTAAATATTAGGGTGGTCATTTTGAACAAGGGCGTTTCGTCACCATAATTTTAGCACAAAGAATTATCATTATAATCATTTTTAAGTGTTTTTGTAAACTCTTATCACACCTGCAAAAAATCATCACACCTGAAAAAGTAATAGTTAAAACCCGAATCTAAACTTTTCACTAATATATAAAGCCAAAACCTGTAATTTTTTTTTTTTTGGACAGAACGTTGAAGGGTTAGAACCCCATCAGGTTTATTTGCTGTTTATGTTTCCTCTGGGAAAATTCACCCTCTCAATGCTCAATGTTTGAGTTCTTTTTAGAAGAGCAGGCAATGGAAAAATCTTTCAATGGAGACACCTGCTCTGGTGACACCTGTCTGTCTAAGAGGGCAGGGAATTAATTTAGAAAATATTTCCTCTCACTTCCTATTGTAAATCCTGGACAAGACATGGAGGAAAATATTCCCATCAAGACAGCGCAAAAAAGAAAGTGACAGGAATTTCAACCTATCCATACTTTATCTAAAACTATAAAACATACATTTTGGCTTTCGATATACTTTAAATCTAGGTGTAGACGAGCAGATGTTAGAAGCGATTAATATTGCCAAGAGATACCTCTAAATGGCCCCAGTAACCGGTTGGACAGATTACAGTGGGATTGGGCTATTTAGGATGAAGCTAAAGCTGGTTAGAATTTTGTTCCACTGTTTGTGTAAAATCCTAAAAAAAAAACCTTCATCAGAGCATTTGATGATACCATCATTGAGTCAAATCATTTCTTTTGAAAGTCCTTCAAAATTTTTATCCAGACATGCTACTTGAATGGAATTGCAGATTTTAAACATATTTCATTTATTGCTTAAAAAAATAAGAAAAGAAAAATGCAAAGCAAAGTTTATTGAAATGTGTAAGTAAGTTAAAGGAGAACTATGAGGTGAGTGATTTCCACTCACCTCATAGTTCTAGCCGACCTGTGACAATGAGACTGTCACAGGTCGGCACAGTAGATCGGGAGGTGAGCGAACACATACCAGGTTCGCTCACTTCTCGATCCTGTCACGGTTCTCTGCCGTGACAGGGGGAGGGCTGGATTCCCCTCTCCCCGCTCCGATCTGCCATCGCTGACTGGCGGAACAGACGGGGGAGGGGGTGGGTACAGCTGGCTCTGCCTCTAGATAGGCAGAACCAGCTGTCACTCACGCAGCTGGGCGGATCCCGTCATCTACGTCGGGATCCGCTCCGGCTGCGGCGTCTCAGTATACCGCGAGCTACAGCTGAGCTTAGGGTAACGGGAGAACGCTAGTTTGTGTCCTCCCGTGACCCCTAGGAGAACTATGGGGGAAAACACTGACCCCCTAGTTCTCCTTTAATATAATTACATACATATTATGTTCATCAGCCCATGAGCTTGTAGTAGCTATACTAGACACTAGGGATGCACCGATACCAGGTTTTCGGTACCAATATTTTGCTGTCAGTACTCCCCGATACCTAGTACCAATACCGTTGCTTCTGCTGGCATGGAGCTGGCTTTCTGGGCAATCAGGAAGCCACGCATCGGGTAATGACACGCCACCTGGCATCCTGATTTCCCAGCAAGCCGGCTCCATGTTTGGCTGGCTCGATGCTGATTGGCCGAGAAGCCGGCTTCCCAGCCAATCAGCATGTAGCCGGCTTCCCGGGCAACCAGGAAGCCGGGTGGCGAGTAATGGCTTGCCTCCCGGCTTCCTGATTGGCCGGGAAGCCAGCTCCGTGCTAATTGGCTGGAAAGCCATCTTCACAGCCAATCAGCATTGAGTCTGCAGTTTGGCCTGATTGCCCGGGAAGCCAGCTCCATGTTCCCCTATGGCACTGTTGGTCAGAGGAAATCTTCCTCTGACCGGAAGTTCCAGCATTGAGGAAGGTATCGGAGCATTCGGAACAGTTGCCCAAGGCAACCAAACAGCATCCACCTCTCGTTTTCAAACCTTAACTGAACAAACTGAAGAAAGAAGCTGACTGGTTGCCATAGGCAACTTCTTCAGATTCTTCTGCTCCAGTTTTGATAAATTCCCCCCAGTGTGTATTTAAAGAAAGGAAGAATGAATTATTCCAGCTGTAAGTATGGTTTGCATGATGGGCAGTCATGTTAAATGTAATGATCTGCCCTGGTGATGTAACGCTATGATTTTTACAACATTTCACTCTTGGTTTCCATGGAGATTATCCTAGCTGCTAGGGGTAATTGTGGGCAGAGATATGGATAAACACCATCTTTTTACATTCTAATGACTGGTTTCTATGGCTACTTAGATTGCACAGGTTCTTTGAAAAAATCACCTTGATGAAAATTGGGTACCAGATAGGTTTTTAGGACTTTTCTCTTTCTGTGTATTAGCAAAATTGGGTCAATAAAGCTAACTGAATCCAGAACCCCTTTTGCTGATCTAGTATGCCCTTTGTTGGTACTTCACTTGGCTCACACCACACACATTTCTATACCATGTATAAATCTGTGGCAGGCCTCTCTAAACCGGATAATACGAGGTCTAAGGGCTTGTTCACACCAAATGCAGACCAGATCTGCATGAGTTTCTGCACATGCAGTCCAGTGGGTTGTGTATTGTTTTTGCCGCGTTATTGATGCGTTCCAGGCCGTTTTTGTAAAAAGCCTAGAATGGACTTTCAGTGCTTTCCAGGGCGTTTGCATGTGTTTTTTTATTAGTTTGCATGCGTTCCAGAGCAGGAAAAATAGGGCTTGCTGCAGTTTTTTTACATGCTCTGGAACTGAACGCTCCGGTGTGAACTAGAGCCCAAAATACCATTGGAATACATGGGACGCAGTTTTGATCCGGTCTGTAATTGCTCTGCTCCTGGAACGCGTTTGGTGTAAACTAGCCCTAAATGTATAGCTTGGGGAAGTCCCTCTGTTCTTCCAGTTCTACAATTTCAGACCTTTTTTGTACTGTTGACATTCATACCATGCTGCAAAGGATCTTGTAAACTGTGCGTGCTGCTATGCGAAATGCAATAAAAACGTATTGAAATATGTGGCAGGCCATCCAGAGTTATGTCTACAGTATAACTTCAGGAAAGCGACAGTTGGCTTGAGTCTACTTTATGTTATAAAATGCTGTGTGCTAAAATGATCAGTGTTTATTGCCTGCATCTATTGCTCATTGTCAGCAATTAATTAATGGTACATTTGTTTATCTCCTTCAGCAAGACTTCCTGCACTTACGGCTCCTCAGTTTGCATGGCTGCGAAAGTACTGTCAGAGAAGCCTTCCAAATCTTAACAGTTTCTTTGTCAGCAGTTTGCCTCAAACAAAAGATTTTGGACAAAACCACACTTCTGTAGGGCACACCAAATCGGATGCAGGTAGGTTTTATGTTTTGGTAGCAAGCATCACAGCTTGTATTCACTAAACATTCTTTGCATGCATTAAAACTAAGGCAAAACTGTACATTACTGTGTTGTAACACAATGTTCAAATTATTGTATACGCTGTCTGCATTCAAAAAACTTTGAGAAATCAATAAAAAGTGATTTAACTAAAAACTAAGGCAAAAAGCTAATCTGTATCAAAGCAATTATAAATTCCATTGGCAGAAAACAAACCACCTGTCCTGCTGGCTTTATTCTAAAGCTGTCAAATCTGATCTACATGTAGATGAAAGTACAGCTCATTCTGTACTTCCGCGGACACTTAGATGTAAGCTCTGCAGGTCTCATAGACCACAGCACTGTGGTCACCTCTTCACCCCCCTCCCTCTTGCCCATTCAAGGAACTGAGCCTGGGTTCTGTCTTTTGTTAATGGGCAGGAGGAGAGGGGGGCAGAGATGTGACTGCAGCACTGAGGCCCATCAGACTTGCACCAGGCATTGAAGTGCAGCAGGAGCTGTACTATCATGTGTACCCATGGAATGATTGTACACACAAGTGTATATATTCATGTGTGCTGTAAACTGGTAAAGACCAGGCTGTTAGTAACAGATATGATCACAGTAAGGGTACTGGAGGCAAACACTAAGGGCTCTATTTATAAACAATTCAATAATCAAAAGAAACCCATCGCACACCTGACCGGATAATACCCTCAAGTATCGGTTGGGTGCCAAGCGACCACGGATGCCTACGCAAATTAGTAAAGGTATGAAGAAGTCACTCGCACTTCAGCTCAAGTTCAGTCAATATTTTATTGACCTCTGTGGTGTCACAACATGGCGATGTTTCTGAACCCGTATGGTCCCTTCATCAGGCATGAAGAAGGGACCAAACGGGTTCCGAAACGTCGCCATGTTGTGACACCACAGAGGTCAATAAAATATTGACTGAACTTGAGCTGGAGTGCAAGCGACTTCTTCATATTTATACTATTTATAAACAATACACAGAGCCATTTGCCCTGCGAATCTCTGTGAATGTTCGTTCTGTGTGAATAGAGGCAAAAATGATTCTCAGAATATTTTCTTTTCAGGTACAATGTAATGTAATATGACATTATGGCCAATAGATGGAGCCTAGGAAATAGATACTTCTTTCCTATGCTCTTCAGCTCCATTTAGTGGTCATAATGTGGTATTGCATTAGATTATATTTGACCTGAAAAGAAAATTAACTAAGAACGTTCGTTTTGCCTCTATTTGCAAAGAAAGAACGTTTACAGAGATTCACAGGGTGAATTGTTTATAAATAGATCCCTCTGTGTTTTTTTACTCCTTCACTGTGATATCTGTCACTAAAAGTTTGGTCATTATTTGTATTTATTTATTATTAGTATTTATATAGCGCCGACAATTTACCCAGAGCTTTACATAGTTGCACATTCACATCAGTCCCTGCCCTCAAGGAGCTTACAATCTAAGGTCCTTATCTCACATGTATACATACAAGGGCCAATTTAGACAGGAGCCAATTAACCTACCACCATGTGTTTGGAGTGTGGGAGGAAACCCACACAAGCACGGGGAGAACATGCAGACTCCTTATAGATAATGACCTGGTCACAGTGGCCTGGATTTGAACTAGGGACTCCCAGTGCTACGAGGCAGAAGCGCTAACTGCTACACCGCTGTGCTTCATGTTTTCATTGCACTTTAATAATGGCTCTGCAAATTGTGTATAGACCCCATAGTCCTTTAGTGATAAAAACACATTTTTGTAAAAATAAAAATCCAGCTTCCTCTGCCATTTTAAGAAAAAAAATAAATCAATAAATAAGCCCTTGGGACATGATTCAAAAAAGCATTAGCAAAGTCCTGCAGCTTATTCATGAAAGCCTTGTGACAGTTTTGTTAAGAATTCAGATTTGGGTACTTCATATTTGCCCCACTCACACAAACTCACAAATTCTAAAGGGCTCTCCTTACCATCTTGTCTTGAATTGTATTGTGATTGTAATGTCTTCCTTATATTGTAAAGTGCTGCGCAAACTGTTGGCGCTATATAAATCATGTATATTAATAAAGGAATTAATAAAGGAATTACCGCCAGTTTTTAGATAATGACACTGGAAGTAATCAAGGCCAAACATAAGCTGGCATACATAGAGAGAGGCCAGTGTTCAGAGTGGGGGGTGCTGTGTAGTAAAGAGCAGGGCATGTTTGTGCTGCTCTTTACTACACAGTGGCTGGGCAGCTTCGCTCTCAGAGCTAGTTGATCATGCTGTGCGGCCAACAGCATTCTAGCAAGCAAGGATGCTGTGCGTCTTGGGGGCTGAACATGGACTGAGGTTGGAAGTCCGCAGTATGGACACTCTAGCCTTAATGACGCCCCTAGCATGTCTCCATGCAACAAATTTACAACAGGTACATATATCTATTGCATGTACCAACATTTTTCTAAGGCACGACACAATAAACAGTGCCTACAACACTTTCTTTTTTTATTCCAGGGTTTATGCTTTCTGATTAAAATTACTATTGTCCAACAAACACAAATTATTTTTAGTCAAGAAAGGCTTAAGACTGTTTTTACACTTTGTTTTGTCTCATGAGTAGATTACAATTTGATTCAAAATGAACTGGCTGAGTTTAAGCAGTCTGCAAGAGCTTACTCTAGCCAAGAAATATTATCAGGCCAGGCCGACATAAAAGTGCCATATATGGGGAAACTGGAAATAGTGCGCAATCTATTTATACAGCTTTATTCTGGAAAACAATAATAACTGCACCTCTCTCAGTGTGTACATTTTACTTGAGCAGGCATGTTTCCAGGGACCACAACTTCCAGGGACAGCTAGTTACCAGAGTCTCACAAATCAGAGATTAGACTTTGACAAAGGAATGTTGCCAGATGGTTGATTTTCACACTGTGGTAACTGTCTGCTTTCCCCACTTGCTCTGCAGTATAGGCTGTATTGACACGGGTCATTTTGAAATTTCTGCGAAAAGAACCTACAGATACTTGCGGCAGGTATCCCAGGCATCCCCTATGCGGCCACTGTATCCATTTACGTTAATGACAGGGTGACAGAGGGCGCATCTGTTGGCGGCAGTCTACAAGTAATTGTAAATGATAAGATTACCTGCAGATGGGGATAAATGATTGTCCCTGGATGCAGGATAGATGCGTCCATGGACAATCATCTTTATTGAACTGCATGTAATCATACCATGTACAATTACATGCAGACTGCCACTGACAGATGTGGCCACTGTCACCTGGTTATTTACTTCAGTGGCCAGATCTAAACAGGGACACTTGGTATTCCTGTCCCAAGAATCCATAGGTTCCTGCAGCGGGAATCCCTAAATGCAGTATAGGTCCCTGTGTGTAAAAAAAAACCCTTGGAGGCATGTCTTATAACTAAGGGTAGTATATGAATTATTTGTAATATTGTAAGGAGGTATGCCTTTTGAAAACAAATTTTGAACTAGAAAGAAAGAATAATAGAGTCGCATCAACCTGTGCCCTTAAAGTTACACTAAATTCAGGAGTTAAATCCTAAAAACACATTGAAGTACCTTAACTAGTAACAAAAAAGTATCTTATTTGTGTATCATTCGGCTGTAGATCCTCAAATCATCTCTGAATTGGTGCTGAAACTGTCCTGCCTTCTGGAGGGTGACTACTTTTGTTCCCCATGGTTCCTGTGTGTGTTGTAAAGTAGTCACCGCTCCAAGCTCACTGCTGTTATGGACTACAATATCAATATAAATTAGTAAACTAAACGTGAGATTGTAGTCCATCGCAGGAGTGAGCTTGAAGCACTGGCTACTTTATAACACACACTGGGACCATGGGGAAGAAAAGTAGTCACCCTCCAGAAGAAGGACAGTTTCAGCACCAATTCAGAGATGATTTGAGGCCAGTGGTTTTCAACTTACAGTAAAAGGTCTAGGGGGGGGGGGCTTACTGCTCCAAAGGGCTGCACATAATATTCAGTATATGATACAATACTGTCAAAGATTTCAGGCATACTAGAGGAGAGGATCAGAGACTGTTGGTATGCTAGAGGGGTTGTTGGGGACTGGAGACACACTACAGGAGATAGAGACTGAGGACATGCTATATGAGACTGCTAGATCACTGTCATTGTAGCCTGGAGTCTTTGGGTCTGCAAAATACCACACCGTCAATACCAAAGGGCTGCATATGGCCCCTGGGCTGCAAATTGGGCACTGAGGGAATAGACAGTTGTATCCTCACTTTGGCCTAAATGTTTTCTGTAGGATTTAGGATACACCTCCTCTTCTCTGAGCTTGATTGTTCAGGAAGGGCTTGATAATTCAATAATGCCAGCCAAGCACCTCTTCTGACCAAAGAGAACAGAGCCACACTGTATTTTATTTTGGGTTGCAGAAGTAAAAGAATGACAATATAGCATAGAAGTGATAACTTGCACACTAGGAGGTGTGAAATGTCACAGTTAGAAGCTCCGCACTGATGCATTTCCTCATAGAAATGATGTGTTCTTTAAGTTAGCCATACAAAATTAGAATTGCGATAGAAAATTGTAATTTTCAAGACGTTCAATTGTCTAATAGTTAATGGGGACAAATCGACAACCATTTTCTAGAAATTTCGACCTATCATGCTCTATCTGAACAATTAACGTCAGGGGAGAAGAGGTGTGCCCTAAGTCGTGCAGATAACACTCAGGCCAAGGTCAGGATGCAACTGCCTATTCCTCCACAAGAAAAATCAAAATTCATAGTCTTCTCGTTTCTCTGAACGAGCAAAAATGTAACTGTTAATGCGGTCCTCAGCAGGGAAAATTGTGCTTATCACACATTTACATACTTTCATACAAAATTTGTTGACTCCAGTGCTCTGACAATCGATTTTTCAGAAATTGGTACAAAAGTTCAGATGAAATTCTAACCTATATATGGTTGGCTTTATTTAAAAAGACCTAAAACCCTGGAATTGTTTT